CCCCAAAACCCCAAAACCCCAAAACCCCTAAAAGATAATTTTAGTGAAAGTTTTGATTAAAGAAATTAAGGTTAAAATCATTTTAATTTTGTTTACCCAAATCAGTTTTGAGTAAGAAGCTTTAAGATTCCATTTAAGGCTGTTAGTGTAAAAGTATTCATTCTTTTAGTTTCATGAGAGCTAATTTTCTTATTATCAATGCTCTTTATAATCTTATCATCTGTTTCTTCTGCTTTTATGTAGTTACTGTAAACTGAAATATCAGCTGATCTTTAATACTCTTATCTAAGAAGTTACAACTCATTGACAACCTCAGATCTGTTGAGCATTTACTTAACTCCTTAATGATTATAGAGTATCATCCAAAGACAAGCAGAGGAATAAGCTTTGATTTTTGGGATAAGGTTTTAATTACTCAAAAATGAAAGCAAACATGGCAAAAAGTTCTCATTCTAAATGAAGTAAAGCTTGTTAGTTCTATTAAAGGAGGTATTTCTTAGGAATAGAAGATTGTGCTTAACTAAGTCAACAAGGACTGTATTCTCATTGTTTTAGTTTTAAACGTTGACAGTATCAAGGATGAAAATTACGTGTTCAAATAAGTTCTTCAATTTCTATATGGATTAAGATAGGTTATATATGTTACCAGTAATATTTTCTATCCTTCGTCGGTTGAGGCATAAGCAGCTAAAAATCCAGAAAATTAGGCTAAGTAATTTTTCATAAGTTTAATTTCTTTCTCATTCTTGCACTGAGGCTAAATCATCTCAAGAATCTCTTCTATCATTCTGATTTTCATAATTTCTTTGGCTATTTCAGCAGACATGCTAAGACATTTAAATAGTGTAAAGATCATTCTTAATTTCAAGGTATTTCCATGCAATGATTCCCTAGAGATAATTATAAATTTGAAAACATACTTTAATAAATGCTCAGATAGTACTTTTATCAGAGACTATTTCTTTTGTTGTTATGCAGATGATACATTGATAAAAGCATTTTTGAACCTGACATTTTGAGAAGCGAATGTCAAAGCAGTCATATAAGTTTCTTAAACAATCACCTCACTTCCTTAATCTAAGTCTTCTACTAAGTTTTAGATAAGTTAAACAAATTTATCTCCAATTTAAGTCTCCTTGCTAGATAATTGCTTTGCTTGAACTGTCCTGGTTGACATTATGGATTAGCCTGATGATTTTGGGAAAAGCAAGGGTATTAGAATTTGGCTGGATTAATAGAACAAATGTCTCAAAATTTAAAGCATTCTTAAGACTTCTCTTTCACATTGAGCAATATCATTCGGATTAACATATTTGAATTATCTTTTCATCTAACTCTCAAAAGCAGACGATAGCATCTAGGAATTATTCATAGATTTAGTAATCATTGACTTATTTGTAACAGTCTGTTTCTTTTTTGTTACTTTTTGAATTTCTTATAAAACAATAGCATTTAAATTCTCCTAGCATATTTCAATAACTTTTTTCATCATGTTTTGTTCAACAGCAGCAGTTTTTGCAGATTGGCATTTAGATAATAAGATGCAAATGCACATAGTGATATCAATCTTTTAGTTTTCTTATTCATCTTAATCTTTTTAATAATCACTATGACTATCATTATCGAGATAAACTTGCTTAAACACTAATCCCATTTCCATAAGTAATCTTGATCCAAAAGCCTGCAAATCATCTCTTTCATTAACCTTAAAGTAATTTTAGCTTTCATATTGCTCAATCATCTCATCAAGATAATTCTATTGTCTAGTGGGTAATCTAAGCAGATATTCTGCAATAAATCTACAAATTGAAAGCTTAATCTCGTTACCACCATAAAATCCGCTTGTTTGAGAAATCTTGTTTATTAGTTCAAAGAACTCAGTGAGGTAAATCCAATTTCTGGGTTTATCATTTTGCTTCACAAAGAGAAATTTAGATATTTATTCAACTGTATATTCTCTTGGATGAAGTAGGGCAATGTGAAGTAATTTAGTTGTTTTCTCAATGAAAAGAGCCATAATAGAATGATTCTAGAATTACAAAGTCTATGAATTATAACCATCAATAGTCTTTTGAGTAAGGTCAAACACATTTCCCAATAGTTTGGTTGTTTTAACAAGTAGATTAGCTAATTGTTGATCTCTCTTAAAAGATTCAAAAATAAATTCCATAATTGAAGTAATACACAAGAAAATTTGGTCATACTAAGCAGTTGGATCAGAAAACTATAACAATTTAGATTTCTGATGTTTGAGGATTAATCTATTTTCATTTAATTCCAGATCTTTTAAAATCCTGAAATCAAGGTATTCTACTAAGAAAGTCCAATAATCTAATTATGTCAAGACTGGAAGTGCCTTTTTGTAGTCCATCTACACTAGCTTATTCAAAAATTTCATGGTCAACGTTAAAAATAGAAGTGGACAGTCCTTAAGAGATAGCATATTATGAATCTAAGTAATAAGGCCTTGCTTGCTTACTGATCTAAGTAATGATTGAACAGTAACCTATTCTTGTGTGCTGCCAATAAAATTGTCATAATTTTATCCTTGAAATTCATCTCTTGATATATCACAGTTAGTTATAAGTAAATCTGTAGCATTATTTAAGAATTTTAGTATAGCAATTTTCACTGAATACAGTTCTTGATGCTTCAAAAATTAGTTGAGAGCTTACTAAATTATACTGGGGTGGCCTTTCAGGAATTCATAATCGAAGAGTTCATTTAATAGATCCCAAGAAAGGCATCTGAGTCTGGCATCTCTGGACTCAATAAATCTCACCAACCAACCGAAAGATTAGTACTTTTGCAAATATTTCATTGAGGTCTAGCTGAGACTAACAGATAATGCAATATCTTAAATTTAGTTCTATTTCTTAATCATCAATATTCTCTTATCGTGGATATATATTAAAGTTCTTATACAGAGGAATATTAGTGAGTTTTACTAGAGGGACATTGTTAGTTTCATTGTGGCTACTTAGTTAATAAGCATTTCAGGCAATCTCTCTAAGTCTATATTTCTTGTTTCATATTGTGATATAATCATGTAAAATATCATAAGGATTTTCCTTTTGCTTTCGGTATGATTTTTCAAAGTAACATAGAGATCAAATAAGTAGTTAATAAAGTTGTTTGATAAAATCTTATCCTAGACACTTGACTTTATTCTGAACTTTTATTTCAAATAGCTGTCTACTTAGATCAAATTATTAACTGATTCAAGGAATCTCTAAATGAAATGGAGTTTGTGAGAGTATACATGATTTTAGTTAGCGTTTTCAATCTCTGAGAAGTAAGTATTAACAGTTTCAATCATAAATGGAATCAGGTGGAACTTCAATCCTTCACTGAATTTATTCACAAATTAGTCTAGATTGCTAATATTCTGATCGAATTTCTTGAATGAATGAAGAATCTAATTTGAAAGCATCAAATAATCAGCGAGGAATGAAAACTCGAAATCTCTGGTTGGTAAGATCTTAATCATTTCTACAAAACTAGTGAGAACTTTTTCATTTACCAACTCATCCTTTAGTTATTGGCCACTCAAGACATAATTCTGCAAAGTCTCAAAAGTTCTCATAACTTAATTGTAATTTTCATTTTTATCAGCTACTTTCTAGCAGAATTCAGCTGATATTTTCTATAAGATTTGTTTGTCTTGATGTTCAATATCTCTTTTTACGAGTCTGCTTTGAACATACATCTTTTATTCCTCAGTGAGTACTAAATCGTCCCTCATTGGTTATTTTACAATTTATGAGTAATGAGGCAAAGTCATTATAAAGGCATTCACTATAAAATCAGGAGCATAAATCACTAAATTCTTTTTAACTATTCCATTTGGTTATTGTTGTCTCTATAATTTTTGCATGAGATACACTTGGTGGAAAAGGATTATTTAAAGCAGACGAACAGCATTTTTCCTAAGAATATTAGAGCCAATGAAGAATAATACTGCACTTTGGAAATTTTCTTATATTTTAAGATCCTCTTGTCTCTCTTTAAGCTATGTGAGAGTTTTAAATTTATCAAAGAATTATTTTAGCTCAGCCTCATCAAAGTATATGCAATATATTAGAACCAGAAATTTGAGACAGCCGTTCACGTAATTAATTTAGTTCATATCTAAGAGAGACACTTACTATCTAAGATATCCATAGCAAGTATTAAAACTAGAAACTACCTCACCAATTATGAAGGAAAAAACATCTTTAATAGAGATTTCAGTCTTAAAGAAGATTTTCCCTTTTTTTGATGTCACATCAAAAAGAATAAGAGTCAGTTAATCAAGACATTACTTCTTTATTACATAATCTTATGTACTGCTCATTAGTAATTGAGTGATGTTTATGAAGTCGAAACTAGAATAATCATATTAATTGTTGATCTATTCAAGTTCCAGTTGTAAATCTGATTGTGGATTTTTAGAGTCAAAACTTTCTTTTAAAATGTCTTATATGAAGTTTTCTTAAATATCCTTTGACATGTTGCTCTTTAGGACTGATGTAGCAAATTAGCGCTTTTAAGGATCTTAATTAAATAAATCTCTCATAATTCTATTTAGTCTGATTTGCTTCTGCTAACTGTTCTCCTCAATAAGGTCAATTAAGCCTACGAGTTCAGGATATTATCCCATCAATGAGTGAAAGGTTAAGAAATGCTAATTTAGATTCTATTTAGCTGTAATGTGATCAGTATCATTAAATGCATAAATTAAGGTCTTTATTACTAGATGGCCTAAGGTCATTTATAATTTTGATTCCTCAGAAGCAATTACCTGATTAATCAAACATCCATTAATTAGTTGATTTAGGACTTGTTTTCTGAACAAAAACTTTGCTAAGAGTGTAATATTATTAAAATTTCTCTTGTTTATCTAGATAGATTATTAAAGTCTGATCTTTTAAAAGATTTTTCTCATGATTCTCTCTCTGATTTCAGGCAATGGTATCAGTAGGTAATTCTTAAATGTTTTTTCAAGTTAATCAAGTTTTGGGTCCATTGAAGTCTCTTCTGCTAGCATTCCGTACATAATGCAATCAACAAGCAAATCTATTAATAGTCATAATGAATATACTTACGCTCAAATGGGAAATCTAATCTCAACTCAATGCATTAGAGTAATTCTTCTAATATTTAAACAGTTTAATAGTATTAATTGAACGTCTCAATAAATACTATACCACTGTCCTGCTCAGTCAACAAGCCTTTTATATTGAATTTAAATGCTTGAATGTTTAGGAATACTGAATAGACATTTTATGCCTTCTCAAAATTTTATACAACTCCTTGCTATAGAATATTAATGTTTTTCAATTCTTCCTCAAGTCTAGCAAAGAATTTCACCATAATAGTTTATTTTGCCTTTTAGCATTCATCTTCTAAATCGAAATGATATCTGAATATTGACCTTCTCATAACCTATTGTAGATTAGTAGTATTTAAGAATAGACATTCAGAAAATGGATCATTCATTTTAGTTTCAGATTTTGGAATCGTGTTTAAAATTTCAATAAATCTAATAGCGAAGTCTAAAATAGGTCTCAATAAGATATTCTCAAAAATTTACTCCTTATAGTAATCGCAAACCTAAATGATAATTAAGAGATGATGGAGATACTTACGCTATCAAAAGCGAACATGCAGAGATGCAAAAACGATGAGAATTCTTCATTGTCTCTGACTCTATAAATTGTCTCAACAGTTTCAATGCATTCATTAAGCAGTTATATATAAAGTCCTATTTTCTCTTGATCTTTCATTAAATTTATAGTTTTAGTCATTATCAACCCAAGAACAGCTTTACAGCTGAGTGAACTTTGGATAGCAACAGCAGCAAGATTTTGCTATTTAACTTGATGAACTGAATTAGCTGTGCCATACTTATTAATGTCTTAAACCTAATCTATCAGTGACCATCTGCCATTGTGATTGCATGGATAGGTTTGTTCTAAGTAAGCTTCCAATGGTATAGCTAGATCTCTTTCATTTTAAGGCATATGAGATACTTTGTTTGTTTAATCACACAGGTATTAATATAAAGTTCTTAATCTTTAGACGAAAATAATTAAGGCTGGCAAAGCAAGATTAGTAAATACCTAGCCTTAAGCACCTTCAAGAAGGTCTATAAGTGCTCTTATTACATCAGTTCTTTGTAAGAATACTTCAATGGGGAAATCGAAGAATGCTTGATTTTGTGCTCTTTAAGTTGCACTTAAAATGTTTTTGAAATCTCCAAACTTCAGCTATACTCCGAGGTCAAATAAAAACTTTTCATCTTCATCATTTAGATAGACAAAGGGCAGTTCACAAGTTTCTCTTAAAATTTATTATTTAACCTTCACTTCCATTTACATCTAATCGTGCTTGATAGCTATTGATGCCTCTGGGGCTTTGAATATTTAAGTTTTAAACTCTGTCTTGCTGAAGACATTTTGATTATTCTGCTAGGAATAAGATGACATTTGAGATGTTTGGAACTATGACTATTTATCATTTTCATAAAAAGATGGATCCTCTTCTCTTTCTGGGATTTAGTTTAGAATGTTTTGCTGGGAGAATTATTGATTTTGTGAAAGACTTTGAGATAAGACAAAAGAGTTTGATTTCATTAAAGTCTCATTTTGGAATACATTCTTGCCACTATTTCCGTAGTTAAATGTTTTAGTTTGGTTATCAGCTGTAGTACCCAAAGCAAAGGAGTCTTAAATTAGTATTTTAATTGCTTCTTAGTATTGGGTTTAAATGTTGGGGTTCTCAGATAGATTTCTTTATATTTAATCTAATATTTCTACTGCTCCTAAGTTCAAAAGTAAATTCTTTCCCTCCTAAAAATATATGAAAATCAATCAGTCATACAGTTCTTTGAGCAATACCGATTATGATTTAAGAGAAGCATATAAGACTTTGCTGATTAGTTTGTTGAAACCTACTCTAAATCCATCTAAGCAAGTTTTGAATGAGATTAGCATGGTTTTCACAGATATATGAGACATCTAACAATTTATTTTAAATCTTTTAGGCAAGATTTTTCAATGACCTCTCCTCGATTTCAAGGTTGTTAGATTTGTCTAAGAAATTAGAATTAGAACTGTCTTACCAATTTTTTCAAATAAAACAATTATTTTAGAAGGGTCTTATCTCGAGCCTGAAGACATAATTGATGAGTTGAACTAGGACTGCTGGTTTAAGTTTGATATGATTGATTGATTCTACATATTTTTAAATTCAAATTATAAATCATATTTTCAGTAGTTAATTAAAAGCTTACTAATATCCCTGAATTCAAAATTTAAATAAAATGGGAAATAAACAAACACTTTCACAATAAGAAATAAATGAGCTCTGTCAAGAAACTAACTTTACACCAAAAGAAATTAAGAGAATATATAAGAGATTTACTAAACTTGATTTTTTCAAGAGAGGCTATGTTACAGTCAATGATTTAATGACTATTCCTGATGTTGATAAGAATCCATTAGGTGAAAGAATATGTAAAGTTCTCACTAGTAAAGGATAGATTCAGAATGGAGTGGCGTAGATGGACAAAAATATGATTGACTTTAAAGAGTTTGTGAGGGCACTATCGGTTTTCAACAAATAGGAATAGAATGCGAGTGCAAGTAGTGAAGATGAAAAAATTAGATTTCTTTTCAATGTTTATGACATCGATGGGGATGGATTGATTAGTCAAGATGAGCTTAAAGTAGTACTAAAATAACTAGTTGCGAATTCTTTGACAGACACATAACTTTAATAAATTGTAGAGAAAACTATTCTAGATCTAGATTAGGATGGTGATGGTAAGCTGTAATTTTCAGAGTTCAAGAAAATATTTCAAAATCAAGATCTATGATTAGGATTTATGATTATTGATTGTTTAATAACTCAAACATTTATGTCTATGCCTAAATGAAATTGCATAAAAAGCTTGATGGGGTTTTGGGGTTTTGGGG